TTCAATCTTCTCCGGGGTTACAGCAGGCTTTGTTTCCATTTCGATCATAATCAATTATACTGGTTGGAACACAAAGGATGATAGTATCTTCTGGTGGATAGCTTTTCGTATATTACCATTCGTAATTGATTTATGTCATGTATTTTCCGATATTTGTTTCCTGTCTTACACTCGGAGTATTCCCGTGGGTAATTTCAAAGATGGTTTCATTTATATACATGCAGTAACTGGAATCTTAGGTGCGATTTTTCTGCTTTACATTATTTTCTTTCTTTCATAGATTTATATAAAATCAGATGTTTTTATCGTAAGTACCTCATTACTATAACTGGAATCTATATACATGCCGTAACTGGAATCTAAGGTGCGCTTTTCTACCTTATTTTACATAGATCATAGAGATAGTTTATTTAAAATCGCACGTATATCTGGTGAATGCCTCATTGCAACATTTTTCATCTGGACACCAATAATCCAAATGTTAAACATGGCGCTCCTTTCTGGCAATGACTATTATTGGACGAAGTTAATATTGGCATTAAATCTAATTTACTTCTCTAGAGTTCTATATTATGTTTTTGAAAAAAAATACAGAAAGTCGGAAAAAGCGGAAAATTTCGGCTTATTAAATAGAATCTTTTATGTATGTCATTATCCTGACCAATATATTTATTCTGAATAATAAATTTATCCCGATCAATATAATTTTCAGAATAATTTATTAATTATAAAAAAACATCATCACTGATTAGATGATACATGATATATATGTTAAGATTAAGAACGAAAAAAGGGATGATATTAACATTCTAGACTGGAAAAGTCATCTTACAATTCTAATTAAATTTTAGAATATAACTAAAAGAACCTATGTTTTACTAATCTAGTACATGTCACATGAAAAAATATTTTGTGATACATAATATTTAATCTTTTTGTAACCATTTTTTGTATCAATAAGACGGTTGACAAATACAAAGTCAACACGTATTTTCTTCAGGTACAGAGTTTAACTCATTGGTAGTAGGTACCGAGAGTTACAACTATTTTGTAAATCATATCCCTATCTAGTATTTACGTCCAAATTTATTACTCTGTTGATGTATAATCTGTATAATCGTTATATAAGCAATAAACAAAACAACAACTAATTCCGTAAAAGTTCTCTAAAACTACTATTCTGTATAATGATTTGGTAGTATGATATTGTACACCGAAAATTCTTCATATAAACACGGCAACAATTTTTTTCGTACTACTTAAATGAAACGTGTAGTCATTCAATAAAAGAGAAAGCAGTCTAAGAATAGCTACAGTGGTCCAATTTCAATAAAAAAAACATTCCCCGAATAAAGGTTAAACGGGAGACCTTAACTTGTAGGATCAGCTACTTTTCTATGCATATACGTCGAAAAAATTGATATTTTCGTGCAATTTAATATATATGCTTCGCTTGTGTAACTTAGATTTTAGGCTTCAGTTTTTTCAACGCTTTGATCAGCCTGTGTAACATTTGAGTTGACCCCCCATTTTATTTATCTATCCCCTAGATATTAGCTATCTGGAGTTTACATAATGCTGGCAAGAATTGGATTTTGGCCTGCATTATGATTCACTGATGAACGATAATTTGATATACCGATATATTTCCCAAAACAACAGTATCGGTACATAGAAGTCCGACTGTATATTTGATGGGAAAAATATACCCCATAAAGGTAAGACCGATAAGGCATCTGATTATCAAAAAATCTCAAAATCTGATTGGTTGTTCGAACCCACCTTTTGATCAATGTGTTACAATGAAATTGTTAGTTGTACACAACGAAGACAATAAAAGATAACTAAGAATACTTTTATAGATTATGAAAACACGGCAAAAACTTAATCCCGTGAGGAAAATTACCTCCAACGTTTGTTTGTAAAAAATTGATGTCGTAAGAACGTAAATTTACGGTAAATTCACTAAATCAGGGTGTATCGATATTTTTACCCCGTTCTTTATGTTTATAAAGAATAAGCAATGTTGCAAAAGGTAAGCAGAAAATTTATAATAACAAGCCAGACGAATGACAATAAAGATAAATGACAATAAAGACAAATGACCATAATGATCCAATCAGACGTGAATATAAAACAGCACTAGTAGAGGATCAATTAATTCTTATAAATCTAAACAAGAAAAAAACCTGTATTGATCTGCAATGAAGCAGAGCTTTATTCATATAAAAATAAATGCATATTTTGATATAACAAATATAAAGATAAAATAAATATAATAAATATAACTAACATATAAAATAATAACTGATATATCAAATAAAATAAATATAATAACTATAATAAATTCTTCATTAATGATTAATTGACATGCAAGAGCTATATCGTTGAGCTGGCGGCTATTCTCGTAACCATCTTTTGGAGGATATTCTTCATAAGCTTTTGATAACATTAATTGGATATATTCTACCATATTTTCATGAGCTGGTTTAGGTCGCGAAGAGATAAAGAGAGATATAAGAGAGATATAGGAGGGAAAGTAAAGTTTCGAAGAGATATGATGTATTCTACTTTTAAAATCCAAGATTCATAATTTATTACGCGAAACTTAATAGGCTTGACATAGTAATAAATGTGATAACATACCATAACGTGCTATTCTAAATTATAATTTCATCCGTTCCTTGTGAAATACGTAAATAAAGTTTTAAAGACAAGCTTTCTTCAAGGCTTAACTTTTGTTGCGGAGATAATGGTGTTTCGTTATTTCGTGTATTTATATCAAACTGTTCACTATTCAATAAATCTTCAACTATTGAATGACGTAATAATTTGCACCTGACATAATAATTTATTGTATAATACGGATAAAAAAATTCATGATCGTAACTAAGATTATAATCAGAATCATTTTCATTGAAATAATCGGAATTTTCTTGAATAACTTTGTAAGTTATCAAGTAATAATTTTTATCATTTGATGTACAATGAAAAAATCTTCCCCTAGTAATTAGCAAACGTTGCATAATTGTTGCGACTGGATTAATAACAGTAGTTGGTGAAGTAGACATGTTGCTTCTTTAGGAGACTTAGTTTTTATAATATAAATGAAAAAATATATGTTAATTAAAAATGTGGAGGGTATACGTCTTGCCAGGAAGTTGTTCCCAAGCCTTACTGCGTGAAACAGTGCTTACTGTGTGAAACAGTGCATGTGCATAACCGTACTTATAAATTATCCAATCAGCGCGAGACTGCGGATCTTGCGAAATAGAATACCACTTGCGATCAGTAAGAGCAAGTGAAATTGGAGTATTTACAAATTTGAATATTTCGATTCTTAATTCGTTGTATAGGTTGTATAGGAACTGTATTTTTCGAATTTTATTTTTATTTTGCTAAGAAAAAAATGAGCATTTTTATAATCGCCAGCGGAGGTGATCATCATTGTACAAAATTTTTTAACGTCCAAAATAGGGAACCAATAAGTTCATTCGGTGTATGTAAATTTTTACTCCGAATGTATAAAAAAAATCCCGCTATTATTTAATTATTTAAATAGCTTTTAATTATTTCCCTTGAGGATAGTAAACAAATTTTATGACAATTAAAATGATCAACAAATTATCTCGTATATATAAAAATTTTTTTAAGTTTTGTATTGATCTTGAGCTTTAAAGTAAGGGAATAATAAATATTAATTAAAATTCTTATTATTCAGTTATTATTATTCGGAATTATTTCTTGATTGTCGTACAACCTATTTTTTATAGGTCAACTTTGCATTTGTACCTTCATTTATTTAGTAACCCTGTAAAGACGTAAACAAAAGAAAAAACTTAGCTAACATAGTCAAATATTAAACCCAAATTATATTGAAAAAAATCTCCAATAATTATTTATTCAATTAGACATCAAAGAAGCAATATGTTTAATTCTACCAGCTACTGTTATTAATTCAGTTGCAACCATTTTTGTAACGTCAGTTATTTATTATTAAAGGAAGGCTTTTGTCATTGTAAACCAAACGATAAGTTTTATTAATGTAGAGAAAAAACTGGTTCACCTTTTTAAAACAATAGAATATATTCTTGTTAAATAATTACTTATATAGTATTATCAATAACGCCATAAGAATTTCTGATTATAATTAAAACATTTTAAAATATAAAATTTTTTAATAGGCTATTACATACATATATACTGTATATATATATTTGAATAATAGGAATAGTAATATATAATTAATTAAAAAGTCAGTAAATAAAGATACTGATAGTAAAAGAAACCGTTATACCAAATATTTATTTTTTTATTCCTCTATTTGTAAACATTTACATACTCATTTTTTTTTAAAAAAACGGACATATTCGCTTATGAAAGGATATAGATAATCATATGGAAAAACAACATGTAATGAAAACAATGAATAACTGCTACATACAACAATCAAAATAAATGAATGAATTACCTGGTCGAGAAAACTGCATAAATTAATTTTGGCTTTGGTAGTGTGGTACGAAAAAGGAGGTGGCTGAAAATCATATATAAGGACTTCTAATTCACTGATCGGCGAATCACGAGTTCTATTTTTTAAAATGACATGTAGATCTTTAATTATAAGACAAATAGAGAAATATGCGTTGTTGTAAAAATTAAAAGTATTTTAGACTTGGCGCAGCAGATGGTGATACCGAAATTAAATACGGTAAAAACCAGACATTGATCACCACATTTCGTCTTAATTTAAGTCCACAATAATACCTTGTATGTATGTAATATTTTTATTGATATGCGGTAACCGTTTTAGGCGATTTGAATGATTTAAAGTAGATTTTTTTTTACTGTAAATAAAAATATATAAAAGAAAAAAAAATTATATTGAAGTTAAAACCTAAATTATTTTTTTCAAAAATTCTATCCCTTTTCTTTTCACTCTTTCATTAAATCATTGAATAAATTTTACGCTTTTATTCAACTATACGTTAGACTGAAGCAATATGTCTACTTCACCAGCTGCTGTTATTAATCCAGTCGCAACAATTATACAACGTTTGCTAATTACTAAGGGAAGATTTTTTCATTGTACACTAAATGATAAAAATTTTTACTTAGTAACTTACAAAATTATTCAAGAAAATTCAAATTATTACGATGAAAATGATTCTGATTATAATCTTAATTACGATCATGAATTTTTTTATCAACATTATGCAACGAAGTATTATGTCAGGTGTAAATTATTAACTCATCTAATAGTAGAAGATTTATTGAATGCTGAGCAGTTTGATATAAATACACGAAATAACGAAACACCGTTATCTCTACAACAAAAATTAAACCTTGAAGAAGGCTTGTATATAAAGCTTTATTTACGTATTTCACAAGGAACGGATGAAATTATAATGTAAATAGTACATCATGATGCGTTTATCACATTTATTATGATTATTAAATATTTCAATTTCTATGAATTTTAAAATATAAAATATTTCTCTCCTACACCATAATACTTCATTCATTTTTCAAACTTCACTTTTCCTACTATATCTCTTAACTCCTTCACCTCTTTCTTCAATATTACCTAGAATTATTTGGTCAATTCTTATACTTATCACATCATTCTTATATATAAATTTTTCAATTTTTACTAATTAATTACTTGAAAATAATTTAAATGACTATGATCTCATGATTAAAGGAAATGACATAGATTTTTTCATGTCCTATCAGCAGTCTTTTATTAGTGGTTGATTAAGATCCTCAAAAAACAATTCATTTGTCCCTTTTCCACCTCGTCCTAAACCTATTTACGAAGATTACCAAAGCTCATGAAGAATATCTACAAAGGGTGGTCATGAAAATAGTCGTCAACCTAATGTCGTGGTTAGAGCAATATCATACATCTAATTCGAAATTTACAGTGATGTCAACGATCTTGCCTTTTAATTTGATTTTATTTCTTTTAATTCACCAACTAATTGGGTAATTCCTAATTCTGTATTTGATCGTTTATACCAACTTGGATTTCAATTAACTGGAATTATTATGGAAGGAAGCATGTCACTTGTTTGAACATAAATTTGAAATATAACAAACGCTAAGCGTTGATTATCCGAGATTTTCACTAAATAGCTAGTCCCATAAGTGAAGCTCTATAGGTTCCTGTCGGTTAAACCTTACAAATGCCAGTTACTACAAATAGGCTATTAGAGTAAATTTTAAGGCTAGAAGGGCTTTTCTACAATCAGCTAATATGCAACAACATAATCACATGATTCTGCTCATCATTTGTGTCAGGAAATGTACTGTTACTACTGTACAGCTTAAATGGAGCGAGATCGGGCTCTTTTTGATGTTTCGTCTAATGGATTTAATCACGTGATTTCAATAACTAATATTAAATGTCTACCAAATAAACAAATACTTTACCAGACTATCGATCGTAATTCATACATTCCTATTCCTTTATTATATAATACCTCATATGTGATATCCAATTTTTATCTTCAATTAATTATAAATATAAA